TTAAATTTATGTCATTTACTTCAAATTTTATATTATCCAAGTTTTATATTTTTTTCATATTTTAGAAAATGCATGGAAGCTTCTGCAAATATATTCTATGATTTATAATCCAATATGGAAGCTTTGGTTAGGTCCATTTGCCTTGGTCGGTATTTGTCAGCCAGATGATTTAGAGGTAAAGAACGCACAAGATAAGTCAATCATTTATCATTTATTTATTTATTTTATTGACTTATTGTGACGCGCGTTTCAACAATAATTTTTCATTTTAACAAATATCTAATGTAGCATAATTCAGTATCAATTATTAAATTATTCATACAAAAGTTTCTTAAATTGTTAACAGTTATTATTTAGATACATATTACGATATTACTTATTGTAAATTTCTGCATGCACTATATTTTTACTTTTATTATTTGTTAAAAATATTATCTTATTTAATCTGATTTCTTATTTTAGAAAATATTAAGTAGTACAAAACATCTTACAAAAGGTTTTATCTATAATTTTTTAAATCCTTGGTTAAGAACTGGACTATTAACTAGTAAAGGTATTGTAAAAACAATTTTCAATACTCATAAACAAAAAATTTTTAATAAAATTTGTCTAAAAAAAGTACATATACAAAAAGTTTATATATGTTTTATGTAATAATATAGTTGTTAATAAACAATATAATAAAAATATTCTTTTTCTTTTGACTAATTTCTTTTTCTTTTGAATAATTCTTTTTCTTTTTGACAAATGATACAATAAATTATAAAAGCAAATAATAAAACAATCAATTCTCTGCTACTGAATTTTTTTATAAATAATATCTATTTTATTTTTGAAAAGATTTTTTTCATTTTATGAGAGCAAGTCGAAATCACATTTGGATATACATATATCATACATCTTGACAAAATATTCTATTTTTTGTTATGGAACTTTCTCTATAAAACAGATCTTTTATATATAGATTTTAAAGAAACGAGCGATACGTAAACTTCATTTTTTATCTTTTTTTAAAAACATTATTTTCTATGAATAAATGTATCTTAACAAATGTGTAATATAAAAAAAACATAACTTTGTAACTATAATTAATAAATAGTATCCTTATGATATTAAATTTATTAACCCAAAACAGAATAAATTTACAAAAAAGAATTTAATATTAAAAGTTAAAATATATTATATAAAATATATTATTTACTCTGTTATAGGAACAAAATGGCATGAAAGAAGAAAAATACTAACACCTGCGTTTCATTTTAGTATATTAAAACAATTCATTGAGATACTGATCGAAGAAGGAAATCATATAACGCAATCTTTGAAAAATATTAAAGGATCAACTGTCGATGACTTAGCAGCATTTATCGGTCATCATACGTTAAATGCAATATGTGGTAAATCAATGTATATATCTATAAAACGGAAAAATTTGTTTCGGAATAATCCCATCATATACACGTCAATTATATTTATATAAATTTTTATTAATTATTTTTAATCTTAAAAATTTAAAAATTTTATTGTACATTTTATTATACATTTTACAAAGAAATAAAGACATGGCATTTGATAAAAAAACTATTTTCTATTTCACAATAATGAAATTGCTAAGTTCAAGATAATAAACATACGTATTTGCGTAATATTTGTTATATATTTAGAAACTACCATGGGTACTTGCTTGCAAAGAATGGGCGAATCTCAGGTGCAATATCGCCAAGCAATTCACGAAATGGGAAACATTTTTGTTTATAGGTAATTCAAATAGCAATTTTGATTAGATACTACTTTATATTATATAAATATAAATATTTTTAATATTAAGAAAAAAATAAAATTATCATAATATATTATTAAGATACATAAATATTATATATGAAGCGAAAAAATATGTTTGTTAATAAATAAATTAAAATGTATAATGATATAATATAGATTAATGAGACCGTGGTTAGCTTTCGACTCGATATTTGCATTAACACCAATGGGTAGAAAACAAGCCAAATGTTTGAAAATATTACACGGATTCACTGAAAAAGTGAGTAGAAAGCGTATTACTTAATTTTTGTAAAATCCTTTCCTTGAAAAGAATAAAAATATAATAAATCTAATATAATTTTCTGAATATATATGTATAATTTAACATTGACAATATATGTCTTATAGCAATATTATAATAAAATAAAATAATCAAAATATATACTCCTTTCGTAGATTATTGCAGAAAAGAAACAGTATCATGAACGTAATAATAGACGATATTTAGAAAATTTTTCTAATAAAATAGACAAAATTGAAGCAGATGATGAAGAAGTGATAGGAAGTATGTATATCTAAAATATGCAAAATTGTTTTATAAATTTAATACTCACAAATTACTTTATCTATTCAAGTGAAGAAAAAAAGACTCGCCATGTTGGATCTTCTCATAGCAGTGGCTCCTGACTATAACATGAATGATCTAGATATTAGAGAAGAAGTTGATACATTTGTATTCGAAGTAAGAGTTTGCATTTTATTAATATATTGTACAGACATTAAATAAAAAGAGAGGTAAAAATGGAGTGGGAGTTTTGTCAAGTTATGTAATTGTCTATTTTATTACATATAAAACAGTATGTAAATTGAAAATTATAATATCAAATATAAAAGAAATAAAAAGAAGTATCTTCTAATTTGTTAATTTCAGAAATGGATTATACTTGCATAGATTATACTTTGCATGTAATAAAAAATGAAATTTAAAAAGATTTTTTATTACAGGGGCATGATACTGTAGCGATGGGTTTAACTTATGCAATATTATTACTAGCTGAGCACAAAGAGATTCAGGTATTTATATAATAATTTTCTTAAATAATAAAAGTACTATTAATTAATATATTAAAATATAATAAATAAACTTTAGCATTTTATTTTTATTAAATCTGTAATAATATATAGTAATAATATATAGTAATAATATATAGTATATAATCTGTAATATGATAAAAAATATTAATTTGAAAATACGTACATAAATATCTTTCTTTATATTTATAGTTTAACAAATTATAAATAATACAGCATTTTAATTTAATTGAAAATTATATAAAAATTAAGAATGGTGTATTTTATGATTTTTTGATGTTCTATAATAGGAATGTGTCAGAAAGGAAGTTAGTGCCATCATGCAAGCAAATAAAGGAAAACTTTCCATGTCAGCGTTAAATGATATGTCTTATTTGGAAAGATGTTTGAAAGAGTCATTAAGATTATATCCTAGTGTTCCATACATATCCCGAATCTTATCAGAAGATGTAAAGCTACGTGAGTAATTAATTAAATATTTTAATATATATTTATATTTCAAAAATAGAATAGCGAAGAAAAATAATATGTATAAAAATAATATGTATAAAATAATATGTATATACATAAACATTGATTTTGTCGAACATTTTAATAGTAATTAAAATATACTATATTCTTCTTTGCTATTTTTATTATACATTTTTCACATTGTAAATATGCATTAAGTTCTATTTCATATTAAATAATATGAAATAGAACTGCTCATTTCTAAAATATTTTTACACTTAGTTTCAATTACATACAACAAATTTCTCAAAAAAATTCACAAGATTATTAATTTTTTATTTAAACTTAAACTTTAAACTTAAACTTAAAACTTAGACTTTAAACTTACATAAGAAGTTTGTACATAATAATATATCACAATAATATATCATAATATTTATCTTTCACAAATTTTATTACTATTTAAAAATTATCTTTTGTAATAATAACGTAAAATATACATATAAAGATATATGTACGTGTGTGTGTGTGTGTGTGTGTGTGTGTGTGTGTGTGTTTTGTGTATTATATTGTATTGTACTATTTTATATATTATATTGTATTATTTTCAGAATCATATTTGGTGCCTTCTGGAACAACAATAATTCTTAATGTGTACAATATTCATAGAGATTCCCATTTCTGGCCAAATCCAGATGTATTCGATCCGGATAGATTTTTGCCTGAGAAAATTCAAAATCGTCATCCTTATTCCTACATACCGTTTAGTGCAGGACCACGAAATTGTATAGGTAACGTATAAAATGTTAATTTTCTAATTATAAAGGAGTATTAATATTTTTATGAATAACAGGACAACGATTCGCTATGTTGGAGATGAAAGCTATAATAGCACCGTTGGTATACAATTTTTATTTGGAACCCATTGATTATTTAAAAGATTTTCGTTTCATAGTGGATCTTATAAATCGTGTTGCACATCCTATCCGAGTACGATGCATTCCAATCGATCATACGCCATCGACTTCGTTTAAAACTATATAATTTTATTAAACACGAATAAATTTATTTTGTTTAAAAATTTCTTGATGTGAAAATCACTCACTGGAATTGTTATTTTTTTCAAATATATATTTACTTTTTGGTGTAAGATATGTTTCATTCTTCCAGTTCTTAATGATTTTGACACACACACACACACACACACACACACACACACACACACACACACACACACACACACACACACACACACACACACACACACACACATTTATATGTTAATATATTGTCCAAGAATTATTACTGCGACTATTTTTTTATAAATTTTAAGCAATTAATATAGACATCTTAGAACTTAACGTTATTTCTTCATATAATCTATTAGTTTACTGATATCAGTTTTGCAGATACAGGCTGCAAAATTCTTATATAAAGCAAATATTAATACGAATTGACAATTCTGGACGACATCAAAGTAGAAAATGATAAAAAAGATTTATGAAGATTTCTTCACGAGAAACGTGAGAAATCAATCAACGTCTTGCCTATTGAGATGAAATTTGTCAAAAACAGAGCGTGTTCTTAAATACCTAGCTACTTACTACATATACTACAATATAATTGCATGAATGGAGCACATTATGAATACGTGCACAGAATAATTTTATGATCAAGGACACACTTAGCAAATATTGTAAAACTTATATATAAAATATTTTCTATTACTTTATATAATGTTCAATATAATATTAATTAAAAAAAGAAAAGGATTATTTCTGATAATAATCGTTTTGTTATTCTGTTCCGTCGCAATCGAAAAAAGATCGAGATCGTAACTAGCATAAATAAATGTTATATAACATGTTAAATAATACCAAAGTAATTTAAATATAACATTTACGTTTACATTTATGTAATGTTGATATTACATTATTATAACCAGTATATATAAATAACAAAGTAACAGTTATATAACAACAATTATATTGTGCGTATGAAATGAGATACATAATTTTTTTTAACATAATAAGATATAATTTTTCTTATATGTTATTCCTATATCATACAATAATTATATTCTGTGTTCGCTGAATAAATTGATATACGTTAATATAACGTATGACAACATGTATAATAACATGTTGGGTTAACATAATGAATTAAGATTTTTAATAATTTGTCAATAGCTTTTTCAAGATGTATTCATGTTTCACAGTTTGATTTACTTTGCATTAATAATGAATAATAAACTTGAGTTTTTATCGGGATCATCGACTAAAGTGATAAATGATTGTTTGAATGTATTGATGTCGCGGTTCTTTATGTTCAAGAAAAAAAATGTTTTGCCATCTCTTATTCTGATAAACAATGTAGATCATAGTTATCTTTAATATATTTAATATATTTAATATATTATTTATATAATTTATTTTTTTAAATTATTATTACCATAATGTTTTTCTCCTTATTCTTTTCTCTCTCTATTTACATTTAATTTTTTTAGCTCTTTGTATTGCTTATTTATTACCATTAAAAATATTAAAAAATAAATATTAAAAAATTTTTAATATTTTATATTACATTTAAAATTGTATGATCAATTAACACACATTTTTTTCTCAAAATATTTATTAAATTAAAATATTTAATAAATTAAAGTACAAGATATTTTAGCAGTATCATTGAAGCATGAAATATGCCACAGTTCCAACTATAGTTAATATAAAATGGCTAATATAAAAGAGTTAATTGCGTTATCACTGAATGTAAAATATCACTCGATACATTATACAAATGTTACTTTATCGATTTCGAAAATGTAATTTAAATGATCGTTATATTGAATCTTTTCTGTAAATAAAGCTAACATTAATAAGAGAGTTATGGTTTCTTCTTCTCACAATTTTTGTTCTTTCCATAAACAACTATCGAAGCTTGATCATTAAAACATAAAATAATTGTATTCAGAAAGTGTGCACAATACTGTTATAAAAACACATGTGACCCCATTTAAAAAATTAAAAATTGCCTTCAAATCATTTCTAAAACGTTTCTATATAGAAAACGTTTTGTTCGACTCATTTTATATCCTCGTTAAAATTACGTAACTTTACTTTAATCCATTTCTGCTTTATAGATAATATTATTGACGTAAAACAAGATAATAATATCAAATGACGTCGTATATACATGATTAATGATGTTAAGTTTGATGAGATCAAGTTCAATGAGATGTTTGTCTGATCATGACTGTATTTATTAATTTATTATTATGTCTTTTAAATATATAATTAATGAATCATGTAAATAATGTAATATAAATAGTCACATAATACTTTTTCAATTACATTTATCATTTTTCATTGCATTTTTATTTTGCTCATTGAAATAATGTATTTTACGTAACGCGTAACGTATTTGATTCGCGAATAAAAAAGTATAATCGCGCATAATTTATAGAAAGTCATCTGGTATACACATGTCAAAGAGATAATGGCAGTGAGTCTGTTATGATCAGTAATAAGTTCCAAAGTTTCATTAGATATAATTTTTCCAGTTGAAATTTTAGAAATATAATAAAATCACTTTTAAAATTGGTTTGTATAAATAAGTGTATAATTGTATAGTTTTTACGTATTTCTAAAGTTTTCTAAAAATATAAAATTATTAAAATGAAACCAATATTAACTTAAAAATATTATTTCATAAGGTAAATAGATATTTATTCTTCTTTATAAATTTTATACAAAAAGAAATATAATTAATAAAAGTTTTTGTTCTATAAAGTGTTTAAGTAAAATTTTTTAGTTTTTTAAGATAAGATACATACATACATATACATCTGTCTAAATTGCTTATGAAAATTTAATATAAGTTTTTCATTATTTGATCTTGTATTAGTATAATAATAAACAGAACAATTTTATACTTTGTTACAGCATGTCTTACATTACTTACAGTTAAACAACTATTAATAACATTAAAAGAAGATAAGGAGAAACTGAAGGGAATTTCATAAAAAAATAAATTCGTTTAAAATCACAAATCATGATCATTAATTTACTGCTACTGTTTTTGCTACTGTGTTTTTCTTTTATGCTACTATATTACTGTATTCTTTATGATGGAAAATTCGTGCGACTTATTAATAAAATACCGAGTGTGCCATCATTTCCATTGTTTGGCCATGCCATAATATTGTGGATTATTTCATTAGGCAAGTCAAACTTCATAACAATTTTATTTTAATAATTTGATTTTATTATGTATATTTATTGAGATTATTAATTCTAATATATATGTATTGAGTTTACTTTTTTTACTTATATTAATTATTTTATTAATTTTTTAATTTTTTAGTGCTTAAAATATCAATGATAAATTAAATAACAAAATTTTATTTATATTTGATTACTAATATTTATATAAATACTTTCACAGATACATCAAAATAAAAAATTAATTAAATCATTTATGACTATATTTTATGTTTATATTTTAGAAGATTTATGGAAAGTTACGCATGCAATCTTCAAATATTATTATCCAATTTGGAAAATTTGGATAGGTCCAAAAGTTATTATTGGCATTTGTCATCCAGATGATTTAAAAGTAAGATAATTAAAAAGTAAAAATACGGAATATAAATTAACTATTTATTTATTTTCTTATTTTTTTATGTGATATTTTAATAATTTTCATAAGTATCTAATCGTAACACAATTTAATATTAGTTATTAAATTATTAATGTAAAAACAAATTTTTTAAATTGTTTATAATTTTATATAATATTACGATATACAGTAAATTTTTGCATTATGTATTCCACTTTAACTATTTTATTATTTATTAAATCATTTTTATTAAATCATAATTTAATAAAAATATTATTTTATGTTATCTATAATTTTATAAACATTTTATTCTAGAAAATATTAACCAGCACAAAACAACATCTTACAAAAGGTTACGTATCTTCTATTTTAAAACCTTGGTTGGGAACTGGATTATTGAATAATGAAGGTATTGTAGAAAGAATTTTTAATTCTCACACAAAAAGAATACAAGATTTATATACGTGAATATCTAGTTATTAATAAATAATATAACACAAAAAATATAAATATATATTTAATATTAATAATATTTATATTTGAAAACAAAAAGATATTGTAATTATTATTAGTATTATATTAATAATAAAATATAAAAATATGTTATTGATATAATACAAATAAAAAGAGTTAACATGCAACAAAATTTACGTGAAACAGTGATATAGTCATAGATGAGATACTTATATACATCTATCTATATACATGAGATCTCGGCCAACATTTTTATATCTCAGAAATAATTTAGTTCTAACTAGATTAAAATATACAATACAAAAAGAAATAAAATTTTGTAATTAATAAACACTATTTCTTTGACATCAAATTTATTAATAAAATTAAGCGAAATATACGAAATAAATTTCAACATAGAATGTTAGCAAAACACAATATTCTATTTTTGTTATAGGAACATGGCATAAAAGACGCAAAATATTAACACCTACATTTCATTTTAATATATTAAAACAGTTTGTTGAAGTATTTATTGAAGAAGGAAATCATATATCACAATCTTTGAAAAATATTAAAGGATCGACTGTTGATGACTTAGTATCTTTTATCAGTCATCACACATTAAATGCAATATGCGGTAAAACAATATATCTATAAAACGAAAAAATCTGTTTTGAGACTTTTTCGTTTTATTTGACATTCCATCATGTACACATCAATTACATTTATATGAATTTTTATAAATTATATTTAATTTTAAAAATTTCAAAATTTTATTATATTATTTTACAAGAAAAGATATGGAATTCAATAAAAAAACTATTTTCCATTTTATAATAATCAAAATAATAAAAACACATACTTGTATAATATTTGTCCATGTTAGAAACTACCATGGGTACTTCCTTACATGAAATGGGCGAGTTTGAAGAACAATATCGTCAATCAATCAACGATTTGGGAAAAATTTTATTTAATAGGTAATTTATAATATATAATTTATAATATATAATTATTACAATCATACTTTAATATCAGAAAAAGAAAATTAAGCTTTATAACACAACTGTTAAAATAAATAAAAATGATATAAAAGCTATATAAAAATATATTTGTTAAAGAATAAATTATTTCTTTACATTTACATAATGTTATGTATTAATTTACAGACTATTCAAACCATGGTTAGCTTCTGATATAATATTTGCATTAACATCAATGGGTAGAAAGCAAGCCAAATCTTTGAAAATATTACACGGAATTATTGAAAAAGTGAGTAAAAATCGTGTTATTTAATTTTATAATAATTTTAATAATTTTTCTTTAAAAGAATTCTAATAAATCTGATTTAATTTTCGAAATATAATAAAATTTGGCAATGTTTTCTATGTCCTAGTATTAGTAGTATTAGTAGTACTATAATAATATATTAAAATATATATTAAAGTATATATTAAAATAATATATGAAAATATATACTGTTATCGTAGATTATTGCAGAAAGGAAACAATATTATGAACGCACTAATGGACGAAATCTACAAAACTTTGCAAAAGATACAGACAATAAGGAAGTGATAGGAAGTATGTATACCAAAAATATGCAATATTAACTTTATCAAATTAATATTTATAAATTATTGAATCCATTAAGTGAAGAAAAAACGACTTACCATGTTGGATTTTTTGATATTGGAAGCTCGTGACAATAAAATGAATGATGTAGACATTAAAGAAGAAATCGAAACATTCATATTTAAAGTAAGTGTTTGCATTTTATTGATATTGTATAGAAATTAGAAAAAGGAGGAAAAAGTGAACGAGGAAAAAATTACATAATATAATTATATAATATTACATAAAATTACATAATTGTCCATTTTATCATATATAAAAGAACATATAGTTGTAAATAACCGATCAAACTGTATTAGAAAGAAATAAAAGAAATATTTTATAATTTATTAGTTTTAATAATAATAATTATATTATACATAGTCTACATGTAATAAAGAAATAAATTTTAAAAAGATTTTTTATTATAGGGATACGGTACTATAACGATGAGTCTAACTTATACAATATTATTATTAGCTGAGCATAAAGATATCCAGGTATTTGATAACTTTCTCAAACTTTCTCATTAAACATACTTTTAATTAATATGCATATTAATATGCATATTAAAATAGTACATTAACTTTAATGTTTTATTTTTATTAAATCTGTAATAAATAATAAAAAGTATTAATTTAAAAATAAATGCAGAAATATCTTCCTGATTTTATTTATAAGAAATTATGTTATATGCAAGTGATGCAGCACTTTAATTAATAATCATACAAAAGCTATCAAAGAGAGGTATAAAACTTTATTTTATAGGAATGTGTCAGAAAAGAAGTTAATGCTATCATGCAAGCAAATAAAGGAAAACTTTCCATGTCAGCGTTAAATGATATGTCTTACTTAGAAAGATGTTTAAAGGAATCGTTAAGATTATATCCTAGTATTCCTTACATAATACGAACTTCATCGGAAGATATACAGCTACGTAAATAATTAATTAACTAAATATTTTAAACACAGAACAGTGAGGAAAAAATGTTTTATGGAAATATATAGTATATAAACATTGATTATTTAAATTTTTTTTTATAATTAAATTATACTATACTTTGTTTGCTATTTCTCTGTTAGATATATTTGTCATTAAATATGTAGTATTAAATAGATGCTCTGTTTTTAAATATTTTAATTTATAATTATTTTCAATTATGCAACAAATTTTTCAATTCACAAAGTTATTAATAATCACACTATAACTTAGGTGGTATGATTTAAATTTATATAGAGTGATTCATATAAGTACATGTATTCATTTTTTATAAATTTTATTACTATTAAACTTTATCGCTATTTAAAAATCTTTTTTTGTTATATAATATACAGGTATGTTTCCGCGCGCGCGCGCGCGCGCGCGTACACACACACACACATGTATATAAATACCAAAATAGATATATATTATTTCAGAATCATATCTGGTGCCTCCTGGAGTAATATTATATCTTAGTATCTACAATGTTCATAGAGATCCGAATTTTTGGCCAAATCCAGAGATGTTTGACCCGGATAGATTTTTGCCTGAGAAAATTCAAAATCGTCATCCTTATTCCTATATACCATTTAGTGCAGGCCTACGAAATTGTATAGGTAATGTAATGTAAAAGATGTTATTGATATGTAATTTTGAAGTTATATAAACAAATACTAATATAATTTTTAATAATAGGACAACAATTCGCTATGTTGGAAATGAAAGCTATAATAGCATTGTTGGTATACAATTTTTATTTGGAACCTGTAGATTATTTAAAGGATCTTCGTTTCGTAGCAGATCTTGTAAATCGCGTTGCTCATCCTATCCGAATACGATGTGTTCCAATCGATCACAGATCATGAACTTCATTTAAATCCATATAATTTTGTAATTTTATTAAATATGAAGAAATTGATTTCATTTAAGAATTTTTTTATACAAAAATCACTCATTGGAATTGTTACGTTTTTTTAAATATATAAATACTTTCTTCCTGGTAAAATTCGTTTTATCACGTTTCTCACTTTTAATTCCTAATGATGTTTAATTCATACACACACCACACCATACACATACACACACACACACACACACACACACACACACACACACACGCACACACACACACACACACACATACACACAGTGCATCATAGGTATGTTGAATGATACTGTTAAAAATAGAAGTATGGACATAAAAACAATTGTAGAAAATATTTAATGAATAATATTTTCACGAACCAAAATTTAAAGCCCATGTTATTCAAATAATCAACTTCATTATTTGAATCTCATTTAAATTAAATTACATAGATATTAGTTTTAAGTTAATTCAATACTTTTGTATCACTTCAAACTCTTCTGCTTACATTTTTATCACTTTTCCTTTATATTCAACGCTTCAATTTTTATTTTTGCCAAGAAAAATAAATTAAATTTTATTAATAAATTAATTAATAATTTAATTAACAAATTAAATTTTTATAATTAAACAAATCAATACACTCAACCAATAATATATTTAAAAAACAAAATGTAATAGATGGCACGTTTATATATTGTATATCATGAATTTATATAAATTCAGAAACGAAAATTATTAATTATTTAAAATGAGAATAAAACATTTATTACATTTTGTTCTTTTTACAATTAACATTTTAAATAGATTTACAAATTTTTAATTTTTAAATTATTATCCTATCTACCCAAATTTTTTAATATTCTTATCTATCCGATCGAAAACTCATCAAAATTTTAATTTTATTATAATATGTTGTATATGTTGTAATATGTATGTACATAAAGTGTTTGTAATTATAAACTAATCCAAATTTTTATAGTATTCCTACCTACCCGTATTATTCTGTAATTAACATTTTATAGTTACATTTAAATAAAATTAAATAAGTTCATCATAACATTATTACTTTTTAAATAAAAAAAATGTTACAAATTTTAAAATTGTAACATTTTCTTATTTGCTTTAATTCTTTCCCACCCGAATTCTCACCCACCCGAATTTTCATAGTATTGCTATTTGCGAAGTTTAATAATATCTAGTTTAATAATATCTTAATAATATCTCTATCTATCCGTCATTTTTTTCACAGTCTCCCTAACCGAATTCCCCTATTTGGCTAATTCAGCACAGGGATTCTTAACCCGCGATCATTTAGATGGGAAATATATTCAAGAAAGAAATTTAAGTAATATTCTAATATTTAGAAATCTTAATAAAATAATAGTTCAGATAATGGCATTTTATTATTCCTCCCCTCCAATTACGTGCAATCGCACGTACGCATCTATAAAGATCTTTATCAATCTCTCATTTTTATTCATTTTAATTAATATATTGACTAATCTTTTGGGATTCTTCAGGCCAGATTGGACCTACCTTTTGTTGCTCCTGACCACGTTGCTCCATCGTCGATTTGGCCATATAGCCAAAACTTCTGGCCACATATAGCCAGATAAGGAAGGAGATATATTCCTTCAATTACCGGCTAATTAAGCATAATTATGCCAACAGATTTTTTGTTCGACGCACGCACGACAGTCATATAATCGTATAGATCGCGAGGACCATTCAACATTAATAAAATATAAAATTTGTCATAAAATCTTATAAAATTTATATGAAATTTGTAAAGCTAATAATACCGCGTTTTTTGTATAATAAGCGTGATTAGTCTTTGATTTAAAATAAAGAAACTCGATTATATTTGATAAAAGAAATTTAAAAAAATTGAATAATAAAAATATTGCAATAATAAAAATAGGAAAATAAAAAACTATTGTGATCTACATAATTAATATATATTCAAAGAAAAATATATTCAACGAAAAAGAAAGAAATCTAAGATTCGTATATGATTCGTTCGTATTATTCGCGTACGATTAAAACCGTTTATTTAAATCTAATCACATAGAGAGGATGATTTCTTTTGATTTAACAAATTTTATTAGATTCAAAGAAATTTTTGAAATAGTCCAAACAAATCAATTATTAATTCAACAAATTTGATTGTAAGATTTTTCAAGTAATAGCTTTATTTTAAATAAAATATTTATTTAATAAATTGTTTAAAAAACAATAACGCTCTTTAATTAATTAATTCAACAAACTAAATTTTTATAAAATTATGTTGTTTAAGTGAAATAAATTCAAGTCAAACAAATAGAATTGCTAAATCTAAAGAAATCTTTCTCTCAGTGCGTGAATCAAGTGAGACTGATATAAAAGATTCAAAATGAATGACGTGAGATTCGAGCGAGATAATAAATTTCTCGCATAATCAGCATGCCAATTTACGTAATATACAATTTTACAAATTATAATCATCAATATAATTCAATATAATTCTAACTACTAGATATCGTATCTACATAATTCATCAAATACAATAATACAAGTAATAATAAATTTAATAATATAAATAAAAAAATATTAACAATACTTGTTAACAATATTTGTATTAAATTAGAATTTAAAAATAAACTTTCAAAGATTTTAATACAAAATAATGTATTTTAAATAAAAGTAAATTAATAATTTATAATTATCAATTTATATTCCGCAAGACAAAACATTTATCTTATGAATCTCACGTCATATTAAATTTTGCTTTAACTTATGTAAAGCCAAGTTAATTATTAATTATATAGATGGATTAAACGTGATTAGGATCAAATCACGGCACGCTTGTTATATAATTTGTTATGTTAATGTTTGCTGAAC